GAATTTTGGGCTTTGATAAATGATTTTAAATTGGGACTTTACTAATAGCATATCGTTTAGTTGGCCAAAAGAAAGAGAGTAGAAAGTCAAAAGCCAGCTTTTCGGGACGAACATTTGAAATTAGAGCGGACTATTTTGTACCTTCTTTCCTTCGAAGGCTCTCCGACTTTTCACTGTGATACATCCGCGGTTCCCAAAACACGTCAGCGGTGCCATCCTGACGTCAGCCGAGCCCAGCTCACGCATTGGACACGAGAACTGCGTCACTCGGACGTATGCGCTCGTCAACAATCAATCCGTCGACGAATATTCGGATTCGCGCTCGTGGCCAATGAGTGCACTGACGGAACTTATCGTCACGGGGGATGACAAGTTCATTGGTGTGCATAAAAAATTGAGCGCCGAATTAGAGCGCAGCTCTTGAGGAGGAAGAGGGAAGGATACTGAGAAGGTGGGTCAAGTGACCTCGGGTGGCGGGGGGGATGGTCGTGACCTTGGGGGATCACGTGACGTCGGGGGGTCACGAGACCTGGGGTCACGTGACGATGCCGATGACGTCATCAGTGGCGTCACTAATGACGTCATCAGTGACGATGACGGTGCGGATACCGATGACGTCATCAGTGACGTCACTAATGACGTCATCAGTGACGATGACGATGACGATGCGGATGCCAGTGACGCCACTGATGACGTCATCAGTGGCGATGACGTGAACGGGGGGGTCACGGGACCTCGGGGGGGTATCCTCAGGTCACGTGCCCCCGGGGGTCACGTGACCTGGGTAACCATCGTGACCCTGGTGAGGGCAACCCTAGTAACCCTTGTGAGGGCAACTCTCGTGACCCTCGTGTGGGTGACTCTCGTGACCCTCGTGAGGGTAACACTCGTGACCCTCGTGACGGTAACTCTCATAACCCTCGTGAGGGTAACTCTCATACCCCTCGTGACCCTCGTGAGGGTAACCCTCTTGAGCGTAACTAACCCTCGTAACCCTCGTGAGGGTCACGAGGGTTAGTAACCCTCGCAGCCCTCGTGATCCTCGTGAGGGTAACCCTCGTGAGAGTAACCCTCGCAACCCTCGTAACCCTCACGAGGGTTACGAGGGTTACTCGCGGTTACGCCGACGGCGACGCCGCTCAAGCCGGGAACGGGCGCCTAAGAGCTGCGCTCTAAAAGCGCGGCGGAAGCTACGAGTCATCGCACCGGTGCCGAAGAATAAAGCTAAGGAGGAGGGAGTAGGAAAATTGTTTCATGACCCCTTTAAGCTAAAGCGAAGTATAGGAGCCAAGCCTATGAAGCGGTGGTGCAACAATTTCTTCGCTTTGTGTGAATAACGCTCAGAAGTAATCCCTGGTGTTTATGAACATTGAAACAGGCGTTCGTTTTTTCCTTCAACCAAAAAACCTCCCAGAAGAAATTAAAAAAAAACGAGCAACCGCTCAAATCACAGCCAGAACAAGCGGCCACGTGAAGTGGAGCCGATTATGTGCCGCCAAGGGTGATCACAGCCACGCGCTGGGGTTGTCCAAGCGCGGGAAACGCGCTGAGTTCCAGACATTGTTTTGGTTCAGCTATTGTCGTGATTGCAGCGACTGGACACGGGCCACCACCCGAATGCTTGTCGATCTACTGATTATCGCGAGCCAAAATCTAGCGCGCACGCAATGCTCGGGTTCAATCTATGAGCCGCATTTAAATACCGCAACTAAGAAACACTGCGACCCGTACGCTACGTAACCAAGTTTTGCGGAGGAGAGATTGAAAGAAAACGCGAGCGTTTATCCTTGAAATTACACAGCAGCAAAAATGTTTCTTGGTCAATGGCGTTGCGTTCAAGTATACTTGGGTATTACTTGTGCCAGCAAACTCCTGTAAAGTTAAAAATATTCCAGTTGAATATCGCTGCACCGCCCCTTCAATTATTGCACGCTAAAAGTCTCACTTTAGAAAAAAAAAACGCAGCGCCCACGCCCTTCATCAAATTGTCGAAAAACGCTATCGCCAAAAAATATTTTAAAAAGAACGTTGTTGCCTTCAATTTATAAAAAGTAACGTAAAAGTACCGCGCGTTACTTTTTATCGGTAAAGATGGCGGTACCATGTTTTTTTGTTTTATTTTAAGGTAACATGAGTCATAACGCTTTCCTTTATTTTGTAAGTAACGAGTAAGTTATCTCATTACTTTATTCGATAACGCCTAAAACACTGGTTACCATGATTTGAAACTAGGTGGCGCAAAATACCTCCCGTTACAAGAAGTGAAGTCGCTAGCTTCCGTCACCTATTTAGTGCCACTAAATAAACTAAGCTTCAGAGTAACGACACTAACCCATCCTGTGGCTTAAAAGCACGGTTGTCATTTATCTGAAGCTTTATCTGAAATCACATGAAACGCTTTTCCGTCCTCCAGAAATGTTTAAACAGCTCGCGACAAAGCAAAGCAACACTAAATGAGATTCCCTACACCGAATCTAATGCTGAGGAAGTCATGACGATCGACAATTTGCCTGTTTTTACAAGCACTAAGATGGCACCGCCCAACATTAATTTTGTGGATTAGAGTGCCGATAACCTAAGCGTAGCTCATTTAGTGGTTCTATGTCTATACATCCAAGGGCCGAAGTGTCGTTAGTCTAAAGCGAAGCGTAGCTTATTCAGTGGGCTGTAGGTTTCAGAACGTCTGTCTCTTCTATTTTCCGCGCAAGCTAAATAAGTAGAAACCAAAAAATGGGAGAGAGACCTAGCAAGGACTCCAGAGCGTCAAGCTCGAACTTGAATGATTGGTGTGTAGAGGCAAAGCTAGCCGCCCTTGTCTCCATTCACTGTTCGAACAAGTTCACGTTAGACGTTGGCATTCGGCGTTCCGACACGCCCTCGTCTCCTACTCTCCTGAAATTTCGACCCTCACAGGTTACGATATTGAAAATTATACCGGTGTATCACGAGTTATCTTTATCATAGCGTAACTCTATGTCTTTACGTACTGCTTGCAGTGCGCGCCACCTGGGAACGCCAATCCCGGTACTCTACGTCTACTTTTTCCCCTGCTTTGAGTTTGGGATTCGGGATTTGACTTGGACTATACTTCGTCTCACCTTACTATTGGCGACGTGAGCGATCGAAAGCGTCGCTCTGATCGGCCCACCACAATTGGCCGAATGCTGACTATGGCGTCAGCAAAGGATGTCTCATCGACGGAAATAAGAGCCATGTAAGGACTTCAATTTTGACGGTGTGGGCAATGTTACTTTGAGAGCGCTATGATTTCAGGCTTTCACCACGCTTATTACAGACACCATCGAGCTTGTTGTTCACAAGGTAATGACGTCATGAAAGGTGAACAAACGAGGGCGCCACCGAAACATCTCCCCGCTAATGGACTCCCGTTAGCCGCGTATGCTAAAAGCCCGAGCTACGTGCTCAAGATAAAACCTCAGCGGCTGCACGAGCGCTCGTGCAGCGAGTGCTCCAGTCAAGGCAGTCAAGGCAAGTCGCTCGCGCTTGGATATAATTCGCAGTTAGTCCATGCACAGCCTCCTTTATACTAACAAAGCCTGGCAGTTCGACGACGGAGCCATAGAGTGCCTGGACGCAGATTTGGAGTGCGAGGATCTGGTAGCACAGAGCATTTCTCGGGAAACCTGGAGGTCAGCGCACAGCTTTTGCAGCGGCGAAGAGCCGAAACATGGTTTTTAAACGCGACGAGAAAATAAGCGGTAGCGCGAGGAACGCGAGGAGCACGAGCAAATATTCCATCACTCGGGAGAAGTGTGTTTCGGCGTCTCGCCGCAGCGGGGCGCCCGTCACGTGGCTCTCCTCTCATCCCGTGTCTGCCGCTCTACCTTTTCAATTTCGGCGGGTGCTTCTCGTGGCGATCTCCCAGGCTTTGGCAGTATAGAGAAGGCTATGGTTCATGCTAAGGTGAGACGAAGTATAGCGGAAGTGAACTATTTTGTTTACGGCGCACCTCTGCAGTACTAACGTGACAAAGCATTTTTAGTAGACATTACATTTCTAGCACAGCTTCGGAGCAATGTTAGACAGTAAATCGTTGACGATTACATCTACCTGTCTTTACTCAACTCGGCATTCACAGAACACCCAAAAACTTCACTTCTCTATCCGTCCCCATGTCTTACTTCTGGCTATGTAAATGAAACCCCTCGTGGACAATTTGTTTTCCCAACGATATTCCGCTGTTTTTGTTTTACCAAGTAACTCAAAGCGACCAGCGTGCATGGCTTGCACTGATGGTACATTAGCAGCCATTATGGTGCCCTTGCTGGTGAGCGCGTACCTTGTGCAGCATACATTTCGCAGCATCGAATTTGTTGTTATTTTTTTTTAAAACAAAACGAGTATGAATTATTGCCAGCTTGTTGCGATGACGCCACGTGAAGTCATGTACGTGATGAACCAATACCACCAAGAATACAATGCCTGGAAATGATGTCATCGCTAGTAAATCCACGACCTCCATGCGGCAAGCACGCTGAAGCTGGACGGGATTACGTCGGAAACCGACAGATCCGTGAGCGTTAGCGGCGCCGTGTGCTGGCATCACGCTCATAGTTAGACGCTGCAATACGCGCTGCCGACGACGCTGATGCGAGCTAGGCGGCGCTACATTGATAAACTTGCGACGACATTTCGCCGGAAAAGGCGCAGGCCTGTTGATCCCCTTCCGAAATCCAAAGCCGTACTCCATGAGCGGTTGGCGGCTTTCCCCATTTTCCACCCTTCTATGCAATTGGAGCGTCTGGGTGACAACGCGCGCCACCTAGGAGCGATGTAGGGCGGCGTCTGCCCGTTGGTGGTGGCCACGTCTGCGCGTGTCCACCGGGCCGGGGCGTCTGCGGGCAGTCGGGGATCTCGGGCGGGCGAGGCCTAGGACGTCATGGCGGACGGTGACGCAGGACCCAGGGTTAGGCACCCTTGGTGTGTGGTGGGTGTGACCGATGCCCAAGGTTTCAGACCCCATAACGCTGGGCCCAGGACTAGCTGAGTTGCGATCTACACAGGCAGCACAGGTGGTGTCCCAGCTGTCCGTAGAGGCCCCCCTTGCGCCGCCACTTGAGCAGACCCTCCTCAATCAGGGTCTTGCCTGCCGGACAAGGAAAACAACAGCCGTGACGTCACGGTGACGCGAACACGTGCCCCACCACGATTGTGCACCCAGGAATCAAAGAACTTTGGAGCGTTTATTTGCCAGAAAAGCATTTGAGAGAGCCAATTGCTGGTGTATGTGAAGCGAGTCTACGCTGTGACATTAAACTTAGTGAAACGTCATGCTCGGTGTCAAAACGCCCAGACTATACTTGGTTTCACCTTCAGTCCAGACGCAACCGACGCTACAAGCTGATGGTATTGATCAGATAGCGTCAAGAGCCAACCGTCATTGTGTTTGTCATGTATCTGTACGTGTTCAATCATCGCTGAAACAATCATAAGCAAAAAAGGTCCAGTGACTAGCGCTTTTTACGCTGCTTGATTGGTCCCATTACCTCATAGTGATGGCTGCATCTGAACTTAAGCCTGAAACGTACTCTACATATATTTCGAGCCCCGTCATTTGCGGAACTCCCTCTGTTTATAATAGCCACTGGCTATCCCAAGTGCATTGCGAGAAAGTAGACGCACCGGATTTCTTGGAGTGAACAATACTCTCAGCCTGATCTGTGAACACTTCTCCAGAGGAGGATTAACTAATATTTGGAACCGATCATTTCGGCATGTGATGGGGATCGGGAATTTCCCGGCACCAGAGCAACTAAACCTGCCTCGCGCCTACGTGATTTTACAAAAATCTAAAATAAATTACGACATCTAAAAACATTACTTAATAGGCAGGCACTTTGTTAGATCGCCAGGTTTATTTAGAAAATTTAAAACGCAATTGAATATACAAAAAAGACTGATTGGTAAGCAAAAGGTAGGAAAAGCGAGAGCTAAGCTTTAAAACGGGCTTGAAATTATGTATGCGTAGGGCTGAAAACCGTAGAATTTGCAGTAGCAAATAATACGAAAAACAGTCAGCCCTCTGCCACAGTGGTTACTCAATTTGGCATCCACACCCCATCGCAAATTTAAATGAGCCAATTGAGAATGACAAATTCCGGTGAACTGTAAAACATTAAGGCATGCGTGTAGTAACCCAAATAAAACCCAAAATCAAGCAAGAGGACGTCTATGGGACATGCCTGGGACGTTCAAATATCAGACGTCTGTAATACTATGTGTTCCGTCAGAGAAGTATCATGAGCTGTTCTATTTTCTGAGTCGAAGGAGTGATTGTACGCCTACTTTAGCCTACTGCTTAACAAAGTAATCTTAACAATTAGTCACAAATGCCATAGTTGAAAATGCCGTTGTGAATAAACACTCGTTTAGGCGCATGGACATCTATGATAATCTCAATCAAATTCGTTGAAGCAGGTTCAAGCTTGGCAGCTTTTCCATAAAAGCTTTCGTATGCTCCAATGAGACAGTGGCTCGTCATGGGGTGACGAACATGATTACTGTATTTGCAAGCTCTTGGATTGTTAATTGCTATTCATATTGTAGTATTCGTGTAAATAGAATCTTTGCTGTCCGAATACTTCAAGTTTATTGGCCTGGAACTGAGCAATTTGTGGACTGTCTTGCCCCACCGGCAGCTCAAGGTACGTGCGTCCTGCTCGGAGCTCACGCACTCTAGCCAAAACATCGCTCGTTTTGTTAGCTACGCGTGTGGAGCTATGCTGTACATAACACTCCTTCCCCCTCTAGACGCTGTCCCCATGTCTTTGAGGGCGCCGTCTTGGACGTTTTAGTCAAGAAGAAGTCGCTGGTAAAACCATTTTCGTATTGGGAGGGACATCAATCTGAATGTCTGGAACATCTTGTTCCTCGGTTGACAATCGATCACCATCTATTGTAACGGCCCACTGGGCACGTAAGCCTCGTGGGTCATTATTGCTGGCGTATGCTGTTGAAGGTGGTTCAACGAACGAATGTCCCGGAGATTCTTCCTCACGGTTTCTTACATGATCCTGGTGCCGTTGTACCCTGCCTTGGGCTGTCTTAATGATCCAATAACAACATCCGAGCATATTGTTAACTGTTCCTGGAATCCACAGCAATTTGCCTGAGAAGTTTCTAATAAAAACATTTTGACCAATTGAAATCTTGCTAGGGGACGGCGCTGGTTGGGACGCTTCCTTATTTCTCCACATTTCTGCTGGTTGCACACGAGAGATCGCCGTCGACAACTCATGACCAAACATAAACATGGCCGGTGGTTATTGCTTTATTTTATTTTTATTTTATTTATTTTCTTATTTATTTGGGGGCTGCGGTTGTGAGATTGATTGTTGTGTGTTGCTTAAAGGCCGACGTACACTTCGCGCTTTCCATTTTTGCCCGCCACTTCCTTTCCTATATCCTCTCCACGTTTTACCTTGCCCCAACCTGGTTCTAACTCGCAGTTTAGGAGAGGGGAGCGCTGAGAGGATTATCTTCCCTGCAGAAAACCGAGGTTGTACGTCGGCCTTTAAAGCCGACCTGCAAAATCATTTTCCGCAAGGTAGAAAAATCCTCCTCGTCACCCTTCCCATTTGCTCCTCTCCGACTTTTATCTTGACTTCTTTTGTTGTTGCATCTTGGGGCCGGATAAGCCGGGCGCTTATCCCGGCTTAACTAGCTCTAACAAAAAGAATCTCCCTCCGTCAAGATAGAAGATAAATAAAGGATATGAAAAAACAAGAAATTCCTGTCTTTTTTTTTTTTTAACAGTGCTTTTTGCTTGGTTTTATATACCATTTTTTTCCGCTTCCTGTTCGTCGCTGTATAGTAGGGGCTTTACTGACGCAGCGAATGCCGTTATTCTTGAAGAATTGTTCAGTTTCGGTCGACGCCAACAATGTGTCATTCTCGCTGACAATCTTTCGCCGCATTCCGAATGTCTCAAACAAGTTGCGTAGCTCTAGCATTAGTGATGTCGAGTTGATAGGGTTCACGTGGCGCACTTCCAGACATCTACCAAAGACATCAACCACTATTAGTAACATTTTGTCTTCGGCGGGTGCGGCAAAGTCGACACGTAGTGTGCTCCATGGTTTGATGGTCGTTGGCATTCCGGAATGGATTCCTTCGGTGGTTCCCTTTGGTGCCGTTATCGCGTACAGCATGTTCATGCTTTGACTTCGATGTCATTATTTACCGCGGGCCACCAGACATAGCCTCGAGCAGCCGCCTTCATTATTCCCATGCCTCGATGATAGCATAAATTCAAGCACCTGAGCTCTTGCGGCACAAAGAATAATTACCCTTGTCCCTCTGGTCAAGCAGCCATTGAGAGTCGACAATTCGCTCGCAATACCTTTGTACGGCTTGCATTCGTATTGGTTCAACTTACTCAACCTTTTGTGATGTATGGCAATGTAACCGAGTCTTAAAACTCTGTCTTGATCAGTAGTTACACAATGCGTTCTGGAGATAGTTGAGGAAAAGGCGAGCAACCTAGCATTAGTAAATCGCCTGATACGCAACGCTCGTCGACATCAGCAGGTAGTGGCAGCCTGCTAAGAGCGTCCGCATTTTGATGTGAACGTCCCCGTCTGTAGTTGTAAGCACTGCGCTTGATACACCATCGGGTTCTACGTGGAGATAAAACTTGTGGGATGATTTTTGAGCCTCCAAGTATTCTCAGAAGACGCTGATCGTTACTGTAGATGGTCACCTGCAGTGTCGCCCAGCGTTGTACTAATGGAAGTGACATACTGCATAGACGATTGGGATTCCTTCCTTATCCAGCTGGGATTATTGTCTTTTGAGGACCCGTGTGTCGTTGACGCAAAGACGATTGGAGCCTCGCGTCTTATAGCATCCTCTTGAGCTAGGACCGCTCCTATTCCGTCAAGAGACGCGTCGCTAGAAAGCAACAGGGCCGGGATAGTTCTCATCATAGCCTGCAAGCACATTTGATTCCTTTACTATCACCTTGAGTTTCCGATATCATTCCTTGTGGCTTTCCTTCCAGAGCTACAGAACATTCTTCTCTATAAGCTTTTACAAGTCCGTTTTCATTGCTGCTCTGTTATTGAAAAGCGATCGTAAAACGCCAGCGATCCTAAAACCCGCTTGCAGTTTAAATTTTTCTGTAGGCTCTGGAGCGTCAAGCATCGCTTGCACCTTGTCAGCAGTTGTGTGAACCACTGAAGCGTCAGTCCTGTGTCCCAGGAATTTAGCTTCACTGACTGCGAACTTACACTTCCTTTTTTTTAATTTCAGTTTGGAGGTGTCTAGTTTTAACAGTACTTAATACAAATTATATTATGCTCACCTCTTGTAGCTCCTCTGCTAGTTATGTCGTCTAGGTAGCCGCTTATCGCTTGTATGCCAGCTAGAGCTATTTCCATCATCCGCTGAAACATCTCTGGCGCTTCTGAGATTCCAAATGGAAGTCGCGTCACTCTATAGAATCCTTTAATGGCGTTGATAGTCAGGACCGCAGTGACGGCTTCCGTTATCTTTAGCTGCTTGTACGCTTGGCACAGATTCAACGTGAAAAGATGACACTTCCTCTTAGCGGTGAAAGTACTTCTTTCGTCGTTTTTAACGGATAGCTTTCTTTCTTCCACGTGGACTTATCGTGCTCCCTTAGTCACCGCAGAGTCGGGTTTCCCTGCTCGTCTTTCGGACGAGAGCGAGCAGTGTAGCCCATTCATATTGCTCGACCGGCTCAAATATTCCTTGATACTCTAACTTTTGGAGCTCGTTTGCTACAGCTGAGCGAAGAGCAAGAAGCACCGAGCGAGCTTGCAATCCTTTGGCGTGGCTCTCTACTCTATCTTCAAATTCACTGGAGGTCCCATGCATCCAGAGATGTCATATTAGAACCCCTTGGGATATCGTTGAAGCCCTGCTTCAACCTTGGTTTGCGTGGACGGCTGCTGCACTTGGTTGATTCCTTGTACCCTTATATGAAGTGCGTGGAACCCATCTTTGCCTAAAAGGCTGCAGCCATAGCCTTTCATCAGCAGAAGTGGCAAGAAATAATCTACCGACTTGAAGCTCACACGAGATTCAAGTGACCCAGGAAGTTTCAGGCCTTCACCACTCCAAGTATGAAGTTCTAAATCGTTCTTCATGATCTGTGACGGATACTTGGGCCAGGTTGAACGAAACTTGTCTTCACTAATCAACGAACAAGCGGCGCCGCATTTGACCTCGAACTGAAGTGATTTACCTTCAATTTGAAGTAGAACCTGAAACTTCGGAAAGTTACTACGTGTGGACATCTTATTTAGTTTATAAAATAAACACTTAGAATAACACGTTGGATTATTCGTCACTCCGTATACGCCTCAAAGTTGTGATCAGTTTTCTCTTCACTTGTTTTCTTGTGGAGCTTTCTTTTTACGATACACGGCTTTTGGATGTGACCATTATTTTTGCAGTATCGACATTGTATTTGAAATCGGCAGTCTTACGGTTCATGCTGGTTCTTGCATCGGGAGCACCGACGATCTGCAAAGCAGCATCATTGCTTGTTTTTTTTTTTTTATTTAGAGATTCTTCTTGTTCTTTTTATGTCTTTCGGTTGTATTGAGGCGCTTTCTCCTCGGTTGGCGAGGTCCAGGGCGCTGGAGGGCGTTAAGTTTTTCTATGCAAACAGGCGCTGTTAGAGGAGCTCGTCGCGGAGGCCGCAAACAAACTGGTCGCGCAGTATTACATCAAGCGGCAGTCGGATGTGCCGCTGTGGCGCTGCTGGTTTCCCAGTCGCAGCCGCTGCACCAATTGCTTGAGACGACGCTGATCGTGCTGGTGCCGCAGTGGAAGCAGCACCGTCAACGATGCAACAGACGTAGCTGCGGAGTCTAAGATTCTGAGGTTACAATTTCCAGCCAGGTGTTTGAAAGCCTCACCGTGGCCGTTCATTCACTCCTCTGATAGTTGGTCTCGCCGTTCAAACGTGTACCGGTTATACAGCTCTGAAGGTTGAGTGTCAAAGTTTGCGCGCAGGACTGTCACGAGTCCATCAAACTTAACACCGCCGGGTCCTCTGGGTGCAATTAATGCCCGTGCGGTTTCATGAGTTTCTGGCCCGCAAGACAATAATAGTAGCGCTCGCTCGTTGTCCATGGTGCCGATGCCATTCGCCACGAAGTAAAAACCGGGGCGTTCGGTCGTTAAGAGATCCACGCTGTCCGTGACTGGCTTGAGAAAGCTTCTATTTTATCTGGAGTAGCAATGGCTAGTGTTGGGTAGTTCTGGGCTTTGCAGGTCCTTGATTTCTCGTCGCCAGTGTAGTATTCGAGTAGATAAAATCCCTACTGTCTGAATACTTGAGATTTATGAGCATGGCACTGAGCGATTCAAGGACCGGCTAGCACGTAATGCATAAGGGCCGTTCAGAGGTCACGCGCTCTCGACAGGAAATCGATCTTCTCTTGTTAGCTGAGCGTGTTGAGCTGCGCTGGACATAACACACACACTAAGCATGACTTCCTTCAATTGTGGTCGTGCGTAATCTTGATATGCCTAGGTGCACACGCGAAGTGTATTAGTTGAAAAGCGGATCCGGGGTGGAGCTTTATATGGGATTCTATGGGGTGCCCAATCATGCTCGACAAAATCCGGAACGAGCCGTGTTCTGTGTTGACAGCACTTTAGGATTCCAGTATCGTTAGTAAGCCCGTATTGAGTCGACTACGTCCAAAAATTCCTGCATGCAACACTGCACGTGTTGCGTTACAGGACCTCTTTGGCCGTGGATAGGAGTGGCACGGTTTCGATTTCGATTGCCCCGTTGACGAAGTGGTACACCTGACCACTGCATAAAAATAAATTCAGTACTGGCGTGCGAGGCACCCCTTTATTTTGTTAGAGCCCCCGTTGAACCACGAAACCTCTAGCGGCCGCAAGGACCTGCCTTGAATCAGCGGAGAGTAGAGGTACGGCCTGTCGCGTCCCATACCTCTCTGGCGGCTTGGCCACCATTCCAGAGTGTAGCTTGACCCTCCCGGCTAACATGATGTCTGAGTACACTTTTTCCATGCACCTTCGTGCACAAACTGGAACATCATGAGCACCCCCAAAAAACGTGCCCCAGAGATTTATCCGTATTGTTAGGCAAAATCTGGAGTAGTATAATTTTAAGAAAAGTCACAGATTCAAAACTGCAAGCAATGTACTTGGTCCTGACGGGATCTTGTGAAGCGAGGTTGACAAATCGAACCGAAACTGCGGCCAAGGGGTAGCAAAAGGGAACGGCACTACGTCCCTAGGATTGCTTGAATTTTGCAAGAAAGTCTATACGTCAAAACGAGTTTTGACGTTTCATAAAAGCCCACAAAGTTAACATGAAGCAAAAGGAAACAAAACACTTACAGTTGGTTTCGTGTGGCATGAACTCCTGCATTTCGACCAGGACCGTCTGTACATTCTCCCTGTCTCTGCATGGGAAGGAAAAAAGTAACATTTTGTCAAGAATTATTGCCACAAGTAATTTTGCGAATATTTATCAAACCTTTAAACTTTTGGAAAACTTTGACGAGGTTCCACTTAGACAGTGTTGTCTGACCGACAGAAACTTTTGAAAATTTCTAGGAGCATTTATTCAGGAACTTTATTTGCTATTAATGAATAATAACCAGTGTTCGCACAATATAAGCAGTGGTTTAAACTTTTAAACTATCTAGTAATTGCGTTCAAATGCTGAACCCCTCCTCCCTCAGCTGGCGTCAGTGCGCTTTCAATTCACGCTAATGCTCAAAATAGTCGAACTTCTGCCAAACATTCGTTAAACATCAAGTAGAAAGTTCGAAAAAGTGAAACCTCGTTGACCTCACACCTTCGCAGGTTTTTGGTGTCTCTATATTCCGTTTTTTTGTTGTTGTTTTTTTTCATGTGAAAGTGCTGCCAACGATACGGTCTATAAGGTCAATCAAGCTTCTCGGAAAGCGCTAGATGGCGACATGTTCCGTCTTTCTGCGCGTGTGTTGCTGCCAACTGATCCAACCAAGCATAAAGAATGCGTCGTGACATCGTGTTTTTAGTCTGCGCGTCTGTGTTTCTGTAGATGTGAGCTCTTGACCCGGCTCATACTTAAGGGGAAACGAAGTATAGCTGCCACACACCAATACAGAGTAACGAGCCTTCGGTAGATCACTCTCTCATAATGGAGACTTGGGACAAACAGTCAGGCTTAGAAAAGAAACGACTTCATAAAACCATCATCTCGTTTTTAAAAGGGAAATAATGAGGAGGCGCAATCCCCTAATAAGAACGATGATCTACCATTCATCGATTGAACAATACCATCGTCATCCACTGTTTGCCCGGCCTGCGCTTATTAGGGTTTTGGGTTCGTGTGCAATTCGTTTGGTGACAAGAATGGCCGAGCACTCACAATGGTTAGAGCAACGGTGACGCTCTGAGAACACCGACACGGGTTCGGGCTTTCGAAAAAAATCAGCGACACAACACATTGACTTGCATACAGGGTCGCGTGTGCCACAACAGGTGTTAAGCACTGCGCGTGCGTGGAAACTATGTTTGCGTCAGAGAAGCCGTTTGCGCATGCGCAGTATTAACAGCAGTGCTACCACAGCGGCGTGACGTCAGAGAGTTGAGTTTGTGTATACTCTACGCGTAGCGTGACCTGACATCACGTGACGTCCGGTCATGTGACGTCGATTTCCCCCGATAAATTTAGGGGGAAAGCAGGATTTTTGTCAAGGTAACATGACGTAAACTTTCGCGCTAAATTTAGCGGGTAAATGAATTGGTGTATACGTCACGTGACGTCAATTTCCTGCTAAATTTAGCGGGGAAACTGATTCGACGTTTTGGACCCAATGCATGAACGTTTCCGTTAAATTTAGTGGGGAAACTCAGTTGTTGATAGATGTTTTCTCTTACTCTCGTCCCCAGCCACCTAATAGGTGTATCCGGTATGGGCGAGCAAAAAATAATAAAGCATTTCATCCTGCGAATAGTAAAAATACAGAGGGGAGGCAAGAAGAGAATGCGTGACGGTTACGCTTATATCTAAATGTCTTCTATTGACATAGCAACGGCAAAACAGTGTTTTCACCCAAACTCGAAGTGACGATATTTTAAGATGGCGGCGCCCTTGTGACCAAAGTCTATACGTCACGTGCCGTCAATTTTCCCAAAGTATTCGGGTCATGTTACGTCAAGTGACGTTGCGTGACACCCATACGCTCCCAAATTTAGCGGGGAAACTTAATCGATGTATAGGTTAGGTCACGTCAATTTTTCCGCCAAATTTAGCGGGGGAACTGAATTGGTATGTACGTCCCGTGACGTCAGGTCACGTGACATCCATTTTCCGGCTAAATTTAGCCGAGAAACCGAATTCGTGTATTGGTCTCGTGATATCAGTTTCCCCGCTAAATTTAGCGGGAAATGCACGGACGGACGGACACATTTTTGGAAGGGGGTAGCGCTAAAAAATCATTTCATGCTTTAAAAAACGCGACCTGTAGATCTTTTTTCCGTCAGGCACGTTGGCAACAGCTGCTAGCTGATGTTACCTACAAGTCAACTACAAGGCGACTTGTACAAAGTGACTTGTACAAGCCACCTACAAGGTGATAGACACCTACAAGCTGAGAACGGCAGTAAGGAGCTTCGGTTGTCCCGCGTCCAGCGCGAGCTTCGTACCTTCGGCAACGCCTCGGCGTCTAGCGCACCTCGAACGCGCGCACGCAGCGAAAGCACGACGGAAGGCCGAGAGCATGTGCTGGAGGCTGAACGCTCGAAAGACGCGGCCTGCCGTTCTCACTTTTGCTTCGCTCGATTTGCCTGCATCTCCTGCCCCGGTGCAGAAAAGTGTAGGGCAGTGTGCATGCCGTACGACCGGAAGCGCACCGCCCTACACATTTTTGGCACCGGTGCCTCAGGAGGTGCGGGTAAATTGAACGGAGCATTGGTCGGTGACTATTAGCGGCGAGATGTTTCGGTGGCGCCCTCGTTTGGTTACCTTCCGTGACGTCATCGCCTTGTGAACAACAAGTTCGATGGTGTTTGTAATGAGCATGGTGGAAGCCTGAAATCATAGCGCTCTCAAAGCAAAACTGCCAACACCATCAAAATTGAAGTTCTTACATTCCTTTTATTCCCGTCGGTAAGACATCTCTTGCTGACGTCATAGTCAGCATTCGGCCAGTCGTAGAAGGCCGACCACAGCGGCACTTTTGGTCGCGCACGTTGCCAATAGTAGCATGGATCTTACGGAACAAAGCGCTAGAAGTTGCGTTGGATACGGTCCGAAGTTCCGAGAGTTGAATCGTACCTGTCGATGGCTCGCAGCTCTTCCACGTGGTAGTCTTTCGGAGGCGGTCGCCAGAGCACCAGTTTGTCCAGCACTGTAACTCCTGAACCTGCGGGTTCTGCGCAAGCGCAGATGGTGCAACGGAGAAGATGAGCAGTTATTATGCGCCAACACATAATTAAATGGGCGGAGCAATGATAATCAGTTAAAACTATTTTTTTTTGCACTGGCATCACGTGAGACTTAAATATATTCGCACACGACACTACTGACCAAGAAACTTGTTTGCTGTGTACAGGGATGGGCAGTATTTCAAATACAAGTATTTAAAATACGTATTTCAAATACGTTGTGTATTTTGCATTTGTATTTAATTACAAATTGGGTAATGTAATTGACAAGTGTATTTAAATACTAAAATGTGGGTATTTCAAATACAATTGTAATCAAATACAATTTTGTGGGCAAAAATACCTCCCTCAAGTTTCTTGTCACTGTCCAGAGCAGGAAGAAAACTACGCTCTGCACCGAATGCAGTGTCTCTCAATCAAGCACAAGCGTTTAGTGACTTTGTGATTACGGTGCTAATCCAGCGCAAGAATAGTGACGAAATCGACGTTCACAGGCACACTGGCTAAATAAGTGCCTGTGACAACTTGTGATGCTTTCCAGCCTGATTTCCTTATATATTTTTGCCGAACATTCGAAATGCGCGGGTCGTCCAGATTTTTGTAACTGGTGCGAGTTGCAACAATAAAAAATTCTTTATCTAGTGCTTGCGCGTCTTTGTGGTCTCGGTCCTTTGTTGATCTATGCCAAAATGTAATCGACAAAAAGCTGCTTGAGGCTCTGTACTTTTTGTCACCTATTACGTCCAAGCTGATTACATTTTTTTGTGATTATATTTCTATTACGTTACAAGAGCCTCGCACACTAACTCCCGAGTGTGCGATGCAAAATTAAGATGAGATACCCAGAAACCCGTTGCAGGTGCCCTGAAGTCGCTAACGCAAATTTTGAGGAATGTATTTGGAAAAGTATTTGGAGGAGACCAAATACATTTGATTGTATTTGTATCTTGTATTTAAATGCTGTTTTGGAAATGTAATTAGATTTGTAATTAAATACATTTTTGACGAAGTATTTTGTATTCGTATTTCGATACATGTTTGCATGTATTTTGCCCATCCCTGGTTATGTAAGTCCAAGAAAAATAGCGGGCGTTATTTTTAGAGCCCAGCTCTTAGGCACCCGTTTCCGCGTTGAGCGGTGTCGGCGTCGGCGTCGCGGTCGGCGTAACCGCGCGCGTTGCATTATGAGACGTCACAGCTTCCCCGCAAACATTTAGCGGGAAAACTGAATTGGTGTTGAGGTCATGCGACGACAGCTTACCGCTGAATGTAGCGGAGAAACTAAATGCGCAGTTTAATTATAATGTAATTAAATGCAAAGGTGCAAGCGAGCTGGACAATAATGATGAAAATAATCCCTGGAGAAGGGAAACAAGAGGGATAAAGGACAAACACAAATCTCCAAACACAGCTGAGTGACTGGCGCACGACCGAAAAAATCCGCCTGGTCCGGGTATCGAACCCAGGACCTCTTTCGGTCACGCACCAGTCACCTAGCTGTGCTTGGAGATTTGTGTTTGTCCTTTGTCCCTCTTGTTCCCCTTCGCCAGGGATTATTTTCGTCATAAATGCGAAGTGTCGCATTATGGGACGTCAGAGACCTACACACCAGTTCAGCTTCCCTGATAAATTTAGTAGTGAAATTGAATTTGTGTTGAGGTCACGTGGCATCAATTTTCCAGCTAAACTTAGCGGGGAAGCTGTTGGAGGAGGGGAGGGTATGGCGGAGGAGGAGGAGAGGGTACGGAAGAGGGGGAGGGGAGGATATGGAGGAGGAGGGCAGGAAGGACAAAGAGGACACGGAAGAGGAGGAGGGTGCTGAACCAGTATGTGAGAATAGTGACCTATATGTGTACATACATATATGTTTCTTTCGCAAATTGTTTCCCAGTATATCGCAAAATCAAAATCCCTCAAGAGCTGCGCTCTTATTTCGAATTACAGAGATCAGTAAACGTATTTAATTTTTAGAGCGCAGCTCTTAGGTACCCATTTCCGGCTTGAGCGGCGTCGTCGGCGTCGCCGTCGGCATAACTGCGCGTTTCATTATAGGATATTTCTCATAATGACGTCCCACGTGACGTCACGTGTGACGTCACGAGGGTTGCCCTCGTGAGGGTTACGAGGAATACTCTCATGAGAGTCACGAGTGTAACGTCATGACGTTACTCCCGTGACATCAATAAGGAACACGTGACGTATAACATGACGTTTGACCGCAGACGCATTTAACATTGCCAATATTACTGCTAAATTTAATGGAGAAATTTGTACGCTAAATCTGGAAGCAAAATATTCACGCTAATTTTACTCTCATGACGTCGCGTGTAACGTGACGCTAAATGTTCCCGCTAAAATTAGCGGGAAAGAAAAAGGTGCATACCCTCCCCCCGTATCCTCCCCTACTCCTCCTCAAGAGCTGTGCTCTAATTCGGCATTGCAGAAAATTGTAATCGTCTTTATTACAGTGCAATTAAATGCAAAGGTGCAAGCGGGATATTAATAAACGACGGAAATAATCTCTGGAGGAGGGGAGCAAGAGGGACAAAGGACAACCGCGAATCTCGAAACACAGCTAGGTGACTGGTGCGCGACCACTGCCTGGTCCGGGTATCGAACAGGGACCTCTCCATTTCCAGTGGAGCACTCTACCAACTGAGCTAACCATAGGTTAGACGTCAGTAGAGCAAACGGGTTTTATCAGCTGCCACCAGTCTAACACCAACAAGGCTGAAAGCTTTCCTTCACAAAACTTGACGTAACTCGGAGGTCGCAGTGTTAGCATAGGCCATCGATTGAAAATGTTTGAATGTGGCTCATTGATTGAACCCGAGCATTGCGCGTGCAGTCGATTTCGACTCACGACAAGCACTTGAATAATGGCTCGTGTCCAACCGCTGCAATGGGGACAATTGCCGAACACTAATAATATGTAGAGCTCAGTGCGTGGCCGGTGCTTTGCCAACCCCAGCGCGGAGCAATGATAAACACTGGCTTACTTTGATTTACATGCATCTCATGCACCGATGCAGAAAACTGTAGGGCAGAGTGCTTCCGTTATCTGTATTGAGACATGACCGGAAGTACACCCTACTACACTTCTATGCACCGTTGCAGAAATGCAGGAAAATTGAACGAAGCTATTGGCGGCATTAAATCTGCTTCATATCACGTGGCCGCGTGCTTTGGCTGCGAAAATTCAGGGGTAGAACGCTGCTCGTTTTTCATTATTCTTTACGACTACAGTTTTGTGAGGAGAAAAACTAACGTGGGGTAGATATGTTATAAATGTCATGGATTCGCTAAAATTAATTGTGTCGTATGCATGTTTAAGCAGCTGGAAGTTCGTCATCCTTAATAGGAGTCTGGTGCCTCAGCTGTAGATGAGAACACTCTAAAAAGGGTGTAGTCTTACACCCACCAAAACTTCAGTTCGACGTACAGTGCACTGTCGTGGAACTGACAGGTCGACATTTTACAAGGGGCGTTATAAAAGTCCGATAAAACTTATAAAAAAAGCTAAACCTCCAAAGACTACAAAAATAACACTGAGGGTTAGCAGTAAAGACAAGAAAATTTCGATCATTTTTAGTCAGTAACACATATATTAGCTATTTTATTTAAGTGGCATCAGCCATCTATTAAGCCGCTCGTCAAAGTTAGTACAGTCGATTCGACGTCAGTGCACTGTACGTCGAACTGAAGTTTTGGAGTGTATTATATGGGACAAAGAGTGTAAGGCTAGTCTTTTTTTCTGAATGATGAGTCTTTAACGCGCACCACACAGTAGGGATACACGATCACTATAAGCGTTATTTGCACAAATTACAAAAATCATTGCACTGCCCCTTTAACGAACGCGTCTCTGCAGCGTCTACGGAAGAGTCCCTTCATTACAAAGACGGGAAAACTTGGACCACCTCCAGTAGTGGTCGTCCTTGTTTCTGAAAACCATATATGTAAAAGTTTCCGGCCAAAGGGTAAGATATTGTCACCACGAGAAAGGGTATAGCGGAAGGCACCCAAACATAGGCATCTCTATGCACTTCACAAACAAAATGAAGCTAGCGGCAAAGAGGCCAGATATATACTTACTATTCCTACATAAAACTTACAAAGGTTTATGCCTATATTGTTTAAACTAATATTTCTGCCCCCCCCTATTTTTATGGTGTACCGTAACAAATCATACCTCATCTGTAATTTTTGGCATTTTTTAAATGAATTAAACCACATCAGACTACATATTCTTCAAAGTTTTTGGGCGTGATGACACCCATATAACTCTGTCACCCTAAGATGATCTAAGCTCCCCAAAACTAACCATGTTTTTTTTCTGTTTTGCCTCAAACAATTATCACAGTACTTAGTTCACCTTGCGCTCCATCCTAAATGCATCTCTCTCTCGGAAGGAAGAGGTCGATTTTTGCTTCTTCTCTTTACGCGACCTAAAACTTTCCCGAGTCCCGATAAAGCAACGCCCCGTGGGGACCATCGAGCGCAAAGCATTTTGCCACCATTAGTAACCTTGCGGCGGCGTCACTATAACGACCAGAAGAAAGACGCGTTCATCCTTTCGACAAAAGATCCATTAGCTGTATATATCCCTGGCGCTCTTCCTGAGCGGAAACGCCAAGGTAATGCCCCGCATATCAACGAAGAACAATAACAAACAAAAAAGCGCCCCCTGAAACACGGAGGCGCCACTCCGCTTAGCACCGGTGTACGGCGGCAAAGCGCCGAACGCAGAGGTGCTTTCCCACGTAGCGCCGGAGTAAAACGGGAAAGCACCCGCTGATACGCGGAGGCGCTTTCCTGCGTAGCGCAGCGGTATGGTGGCAAAGCACCCGCAAAATCGCGAAGGTGCTTTTTCCATGGCATGCGTGTGAGGCGTCAAAGCACCTGCTTTTATTTCGGAGGAAGATACAACGCCTCGTAGGGGCTTTTCACTTTCGCGTTTCTCTCTTTCTCCTTCTCTCTTTCTTTCTTTCTCTCTTCCTTTCTCTCTTGCTGTTCGCGACATCGATCGTGCTTGAGAGTGTTGTGGTGGTTGTGGCCCGCATTTCGGAGTGCTCGCCATGCAGGTTGCCGGGATGAAAAACGCACCGAACCGTGTAGCCTAACCAGGGTAAAGCTTGGCATCGACCGTGCCTGCTCCCCGGTCCGTGCTACGGAACTTCTGGAGCCACTACTGGCACCACAATGAACAGGTGTGGTGGAGACAGAACTGTACTCTGTTTGATTACGCGCTATCTTGCCGAACCGGAACGGTCTGTTGACGATGATTGCCGACGAACAAATGACCTCAATTTCGCGAAACCGCTAATGATTATGTTCTCGGACTCGCTTTTAATAATCACCCAACATCACAAAAACACCGCTTTCAGAAATGTTTGCTTCAATTTAAAGAAACACAGAGGCAATTTCAAGACTTTATGACTGCGAGAGAAATCAGAAAACGATGCTGTTTTTTCTCAGATCTTTAAGCGATTATTTTTCTTCTGTGTAAAGGTTGCTTTGAAGGACCAAGATGTGCATAAAGAATGGCGAGCATGCTGTCCCGTTTGGTTCTACGTGCATGCAAGCACGTGCGAGATACTCGTGAAAGTATTGGGGCCGCAGTGCACCGTTTTTAAAAGTCCATCAAGCAACATTGGTGATCGCCATTGCTTGGAAACGAAGCACGTGATTACATCCGAGTCTTCGCCAAACGCTGACGTCACCCTCGTGTCCAATAGAAGCGTAGAATATGTGATCAAGCGATGCCAGACAGGCGTTAGCGCGGATATGTGAAAAGGGCCTGTGGCACGTTCATAATCATACGGGTAGAGAAACGGCGGCGGCCAGAAGACTCTCTTGAATTCATCTGTGGAGACAAATTATCTCCATATTTTCTTTCGTTGAATTTCTTCAAGTGATCCGAACTAGTATCTCGATTCCGACGACACGTCCAAGTGATCATTGTAGAACCGGATGCAGACGTAAAAAAGTAAGAAGAAGCAAGTCATTAATCGTCTACAAACACTTCTCAAACCTTTAGGATTGTGCAGTTCGTGCATTCGAAAGAATTGTGTTAGAGCTATCCTCCTTTCCTGATTCTCATTTCGTTTACATCGCCGCGGCAGTTTCCACCCGAGTTTGAAGTCTAGGGGGCGATGCCACCGGTACCGCACGTGTTGATTCTGTTTCATTGATCTCTGAGTGTGAGACTCGTATCGGGCACAGAGAGCTATTATCAGCGTCAGTGAGCGGGTGCCGTCCAGAAGTAGCCGTCATCAACTAGAAAATCGTTAGACCCCAGGGTCTATCAACGCGTATACCGGTCGACCCAGATCCTGCAAGACCCTTCTACACGTTCATTGATTTGTAGTGATCCACTCAAATTCATTCATCTATTTGTTTATTTTTTCCTTGCAGTTGATGGTGTTTTTAAATGAGATTAGTTTGTATTTATTGATTAAGATTAAGTTATGTTTATTTATTTAGATTTATGGTCGGAAAATATATTAGTCGTTTTTTATTGATTGATTCAAATAATTGCATTACTGGTTGACTCGTTACTGATCAATTGAGGTTGATTTATATGAATTCATTTACTGATTGATTTATTCGCTGATTGATTGATAAAATAATTGATATATCGGCTTTGGTTGGCTGGTTGCTTTATTGATTAATTGTTTTATTAATACAAATTATACTTACTGAGAGATTCTTTAATTTCTTGATTTGCATTGACTGATTGATTAAGGTTTGATTTCCCGATTGATAGCTTTATTCACTGATTCAATTATGAAAAGATTAACCGATTGAGCCTCCTATTGACTGATTTATTGATGAATTGGTTGTCTGATAATTCTGTATTCGCCCTTTAATGAACGGTTCCATCCGCAGAGTACCGAGAGGGAGAACCCACCGGCGAAGTCCCGCATCTCCATGCGGTTGGCGACGAGCAGCGCCCGACACTTGACCAGTTCGCGGAGCAGCATCTGAGTGCAGCACACCAAGTTCACCAGCTGCTGGGAGTCCACGGGGATGCCGTCTGACACGGCGCTGTGGAAAGAAAAAAAAGGTGGCGGTGGCGAAACGAAAACAAAAAAAAATGACTTGGAAAATATATGAGCGCTGATTCGCGAACATGCTTGACGCCGTCGAGACAACAGAAAATCGCCTGGATTAGGCGTTTTGTCAGATGGCATGGACGTGTGACAGCACTTCGCGGGTTTTTCTCTTTTAGCGATCAGCAGTTGCAGTGGAAATAATATGTAATGTGACACGTGGTGAAGGAATAGACCCATCTCACACTCAGTTTAGTTCCGCCACCGCTGCAGCCATTCATAGTGGGAAGTATAGTTTTTTTTTTCTGCGCGAGCGATAACCCTGCTGTGATTCTGCGGGGGCAGAGCACGAAACTGGACAAGCTGTCTCGTGAACTAGCGCCTGCCTTCTTTGAACTTTAGTTATGGCGGTGACAAGCATGCGTGGAACGCTTAGTGAGATCAGTCTATAAGGAGTATTCACTGGGCGCCATATTTGTAGGTGCTGTCTAGAGCGCATGCTCATAACGAGCTCACATCAATAGGCTGCTAAGACCGGCAATCTTGATGGTGCGGAATGCACGTTGCAAAAGAACTGTGGAAGCTCGCCATCAGCACGCGCTCAGCAGTCGCGCACACAGCCATGGCCGCCAGTAAATACTTCCTATAGCACGGTGAAGTCTATAGGGAGTACTCACTGGCGGCCATAGCTGTGTGTGCGAATGCTGAGCGCGTTCTGATGGCGAGCTTCCACAGTTCTTTTCCAACGTGCATTCCGCACCATCATGAGTGGCGGCCTTAGCAGCCTATTGATGTGAGCTCGTTCTGAGCATGCGCTCTAAGCAGCACCCACAAATATGCCGTCCAGTGAATACTCCCTCTACCAAATTAATAAAGGGCCTTTCTTCGTTCTTGTTCGAGTCCTCTTCCTTAGAGGCATTACATCAGTCTCTCCGAAATTGCGCCGTGCGTGCCAATCTACCCTTGAAGTTTCTGCGGGCATACCACCTTACTCGAGGCAGTTCGTGCCCTAGTACGCTGCCCCCGTTTCTACGCAGCGGACAGGGAGAAAATGGGAGTGCGTCGCTTACGCCACCCCTATTGTACGCGGTACTAAAAAAAGTAATCATGCACTTACAACGACAACTGGTTAAAAAGTATTCAGTTACATTACTGCGTTACTTAACAGGAAAAGTAATCGACCGTCACTTAAAACGCAATCGTTACTTTTCCAATTTCTTTTGATTATTAAAACGACCGATGTTTCTACCGGTTTGAAAACGGTGCCTTTTGTACATATTGTTATTGAAGTAGAATCAATGGGTTGCAATATTACTCATCTTCTCATTACACCAATTTTGGGAGATCATCATTCCGTTGTAGACTCGGTTCGAGGATTCCCTGGTAAGAAACTTATAGAAATAATCGGCGCCGGGGGAGAGAAACAAATAGTACCGGTTGCAAGCAATCTTAAGAAGTAATCAGACAACTATTGTTATTACTTTCTAAAAAAGTCATCAATTTTTTTACAAAATTACTCCGAAACGTAATCGATTACAATATATTTGATCACTTGAAATTAGTACCATACAAGTCTAAAAGTTACCCCCCTCCAAAAAAAAAAAATTCGCGCGGCGCTACGCCACATGTCGCGCGTGCAATGATATCAAACCAACAGCTGCACTCCTTTGCCGACACTCTCTCCCATGGCCTTGCTGTGGTGCGACCAAGACTTACAGGAGCAAACAATGTCCGTGCAAGATTCCCAGATAGGGCTATTGCTTTTAAAAGCGCCCGTGCTCTTCTCCCCAAACACGAAACGTCAGTGGAGTTTACCCGACGTCATATCAACGCTGCCCGCTGATTAGACTATAGAATCCAATGGAGGATGGCGTAGTGCTGGTGTGACCCTATCAACATCAAGTCAACCTTGCGTTACCTAGCTGGTGTTTGGAAATCTGTACTCAACAAATCACGGATTACCCCAATGCTTTTGTTTGTTGCTATTCGCATTTCTTTTTTTGGTAACAACCTCAGTGCCCCCATTTTCTCATGCTTTACTCAATATTTTTTTTACCACAATAGTAAAGTAAGTTTTCCAGAAGATAATGTGTATTTATTTGGTTTCGCGAATACTGCAAAAGTCGCCGTCGAGTCCAGGACCAGAAGTGGCCTGGGGCCGTTTGCACGCTGGCGCCACCACGTTCTAACTCACGCGCGAAAGACCGAATACTAGATTTTCTGCATAAGCGTTTCCCGACCTTCTTGTGGACGCCGCCATTTTGGTACTTAGTGAAGAGCGGCCGCCATTGGTGATAGTTCCGTTTCGAAAATGCGACATCCTGAGCTTTGGACGCGGTGTCAGAAAGAACGCGTGATATCGTTTTGCTTTGCTACCCACTGTTTTAGCATTTTAACGATGGAAAAGCACTTCCTGCCCTTTTCGAATAAACTATTCCTGAACTGGCTACTGTGATTTTAAGCAACAGGGGAATAAGATTGACTTAGAAGGGCGAGGATTGAGAATTGTACTTTTGGTTTCTTGGCTAGGGGGCGCTAGGTGGCGCAAGTCACCGCCCGTTAATAACAGGGGAATCCGAATATAAAAAGTGAATGAGGGGTCGTTATTTCGAATAAAAGCTTATTTGGGGGTTTTGGAGCGCACTAAACAAAGCACGAGTTGGCCAGTTTCTATTGTTTGCTGTTTACAAACACGCCGATTACGCACTGTTTACAAACAAATTCGCGTTTGCCCACACCAATTATAGCCACTGCGCGCGCACGCGAACCAGATCCGTGTGTGATGAAGCACGTGTGCGTGCGCAGGACCGACAGTAGTGCCACCGCTGCGGCGAGACGTCAAAGCCGTGTGTTGGTGTGCAGCGCGTGCTTAGTGAAGCGCACCTTCGTATGTGAGGAAGCAGCAAGTGCGACGCATCCACGCAGGCGGCCACGCAGCGTTGCCTCAGGGTTCGAATCCGCTGTCTCAGCTCGGGCCCGTCTTGGGCACTGCTCACGCTCAGCAGGACGTCTCGGAACAGGGCCACGCCGACGTTCAGCTCTTCGATCAACTGAGAGAAGCGAGAGAAACGAAGACAGCCTGAGACGTGTCCAGGGCTTGTCCGAGGGTTGGCGCTGAATGCTATAATGTTCAAGGGGAGCAGGACGCCGTTATATTCAAGGAGTTTCAGTCTACGTTAAGTCAGTGTTGACTGAAGGCATGACAGCCATGCGTCCAGTCCACGTTACTAGATCGACTCAGTTGTGGAACGGTCCATAGACGCTGCTTCCACGCACGTGCCCCACTCTATCCAAAAGATTCGCTTCCCGTCGTTGGAAGCGCCGCGATTTGGGAGACGGCCAGTGGCATACCAACTTGCTTTTGAGTAGGGGGGCAAGTCACACCCCCTCCCCTCGCAACCCCCCCCCCCCCCTCCCCAGGGCCGGGGGGCGGTGCCCTTGGTATCCCTTGGGCGCCGCCGAATATTGTTTGCCCTGCCCAGTGGCGGTTGTTTCAGGGAGGGGCAAACCAGATGTCTTGCCCCCCACTCTGAAAACTGCTGGGGGGGGCAAGTACCCCTTGCCCCCCCTTCTTAGTTGGTACGCCCATGGAGACGGCTGTTATGGTAACTACAGTTTATGCTTTAGAATACGCAGGTTTTGAAGTACAATGTCTAGATGGCGCTTCACCCTAGCTGCTCTAACAATGAGGTTTTGAAACACAGCCTGTGGATGGCGCCTCAAACAACAGGTGGCGGCTTTGGGAGAGAGAGGGAGGGGGTTGGGGTCCGCTTCTCCGAGTGAGTTCCGCAACTGAGTTGATCTAGCGTCGCTAAATTAAGTTATCATAGACATAGCGATCATAACAATCATATGTGTCATTCGAAACCTCTTAATGGATTTAAGAAATTAATTTTGGGCTAGCATAAATTATTTTAAATTCTGACTTTTCTAATCGCATATCGTTTAGTGGGCCAAAAGAACGAGGGTAGAAAGTCAGAAGCCAGCTTTTCGGTACGAACATTAAAAAATATAGCGGACTATTTCGTACCCCCTTGCCTTCGAAAACTCTCCGCCTTTTCACGATGACACATCCGCGCTACCCAAAGAATGTCAGCCGGCCCCAGCTAACGTATTTGACACAAGAACTGAGTCACTCGGACGTTTGCGATTGTGAACAAAAAATTTGACAACGAACATTTGGATTCGCATTCGTGGCCAATGAGTGCCCTTACAGAACTTATAACTTGCAAATAGAACGCTCTATGGAGCGCTTACAATACGATAACTCGGTGCGATAACTCCAAGCTTGCGCATGGTGCGAGCTTGGAGTTATCGCACCGGTGCCCAAGCATGTCACGACCACGTGATTTCTTAATTCGAGCTGAGGAACAAAGTTAAAGGGGCACTGACACCCCAAAGATCGTATTTATTTTTATTGTCTAAAACGATGCAAGTTGCAGTCATAGACACGCAAAAAAAACCGCATCGCGAAAAAAAATTTTCCCGCGCGCGCGCGCGCCCTTTTATTTTTGGCGTTTGATTTTCCCGCGTCTCGCCTCCTCGCTTCTTTTGATCGGTGACGTCAAAAATCAGGAAATTTAGAAGCTTTGTAGGCGACATCTCTATAACATTTAATTACGGCAATCCTAAAACATGTTTTTTAACGCAATTGCGAACGCACTACGGCCCTTCTTTTTGAAATACCAAAAATCGGGAGTTCGTTGTGGTGCCGTCTCCTGGATTTGTATCCTCCAACGGAAAACAGGCGACACCGCTCAAAACCGGTCCGCCGCTACGCCGGGCGCTCGCTCCTTTCCTCCTCGCTTTGGGTCGCCATGGCAACAGCAGGGAGTGGTGAAAGGAAGTCGACTCTCAGGTCTCCGCGATTTTTGACGTCAAGGCACCGGCGCCGATCGCGCGGGAACTTCGAATTCGGCATTTGGAAATTGTTTTTTTACTTCACGAATACTGAATTCCCAAATCTCAAATTTTGAGGGTAATGTCCCGGCATCGTTTTCAATCGTTTCGGATAATAAAAAAAAAATATGATTTTGATGTGTCAGTGCCCCTTTAATAAGGAATATGGAGTTGGGCAATTTGGTACATCTTAGAATCGAAAAGCGCCAGAAAACAAGGACAATAGTCCTTGTTGTCCTTGTTTCCTGGCGCTTTTCGAATCTAATAAGGAAAAAGTTGAAAACTCATTTCACTCCGTTTGAGCATAGTCTGGAAAAGCGCGAAGGTTACGGTGCCAGTGCGCCCGAAGATTGTAATGCATCTCCACGAGTGCAGTGCACCTGGACCCGTACCTGACGTCAGTTTCAGGTCTGACGTCAGATACAGGTACGTCGGTTACAGGTCCGTCAGACCCGTATTAGACACAGGTCTGATGTACCTGCATCTCATGATACAGGTACGTCGTCACGTGCTTCGCACCGAAGCTCTGATTGACTTGCTGGGCCATAGCTTTTGTGGTTCGCCAAATATGCTAAAAAAAAGTATTGTAAGGGCTGTTCACACGGGGGAGAAATTCCTCGCTTTACTCCCGGGATGCGCATCACGTGGTAACAACGTCACGCTTGTGCGAGGAGGCGCGCTAACGTAGACATCTCAGGGGGTATGGGAAAGCTTTTGCTCGGGCCTCACAAATGCTCCTCGCCGTGGCGTGAGATCTCTTTGCGATTGAAGGTATTTTACTCGCGTGTTTGGCAACTTTACAGATTTTGCTCATCAAGATGCCGGCGGTCATGGGCGTACCAACCGCGGGCTTGGAAGGGGGGGGGGGGGTTCCTTTTTACTTAAAAGCAAGTTGGGACACCACTGCCGGCGGCGGCATCCGAAACGCCTAACTTGTGACTCGCGCTATTGCGCATGTCGCCCGAGGCACCCGAAGGCGTCTTCGATATTCATCACTGCCGTCCTCAAGCCGCTCATCGTGCAACTGGTTTTTGATTCCACGTCCTTTGTGTTGCATCCACTTACTCAAGAAGCATCTTTCATTTAGCAGGAAGCAGTTCGTCGCACTCTAAATCTCACAGCGTTGCTGCCCTAATCGCTTATCGCCCCCCATTTCATGCGCCCCTCCTTTTCTTTACCCTCGTCAGAACGCACCGAGCCCTTCTGTTTAGACTGCGACCGCTAAATACGTCTGATAACACTGACATCACTCTCGGCTAGGTGGCGCAAGCTGCCACCCGTTACAAAGGGTATAGCCGATACCATCCATCCGTCCATCCATCCATTCGGCCGTTCGTGTGAATGCTTGAGTCTGAAAGGGAGTCCTGCTAGTTCCGCCGATCACTGACGTCACGCACATCACATCCCCGAAAGGCATCCCTCGCATGAATATCAATCTATGGCGACATACATAATGAGGATTGATTGAGGGTGATTCTGGGGCCATGGGCACCGAGAGATTTGAGATATTCGTTAGAGAGACTTGATTACGGAGAGTTTTCAACCGTTCAATCAAGGTCACGTGGTTTATGGACTGGTCGCGTTTGCCAAACGAGCTGCGAAGAAGTTACAAAACCGTTGATCGTCTCCAAACGTCTCCGCCTTTCTGCCTGCTTTCTCCCTCGCTACATGAAAACGCAGCGCGTGCGCAGTTGCGACCAATCTCGGCAGGAGGCGTCGGCCATTAAATTCCAAACGCTCCCCGTGATTTGAGATGGACCCTCTTCTTGATCTAGGCTCTCTAATACTTGTACATGACCGGCGGATATGGAAAATGAAAAGAAGCTAACCATTCACCGCATAAATAAAACACAGAACGCTAGACACTAAGTCTCCGCCCAAATGTGTCACTAGCGTTTGCAACCTTGACGCCATGAAGTTGCAGAACTTACCGACGTCTCATTCGAAAGTTAAGAGTCATTTCATAAAATTTCTTCAACAAGAAAATTGTAAATTTTTCAGACGGCGCGCCATTTATCTCCTCCTATTCGCAGGCGTCGTGGGACAGCCATTTATGAAAGTGTCCGAAAACCGTTCACATCTTTTGACTTAAAAAGTTATAATTCCTGAAACTTTGGCATAATCTTCCAAGCGATAGAGGAGAGACATCTGGTCGAAAAGTGAACGTTCGGAGACACCTTGTTTATTTCTGCAAAGAGGAAACTAAATGGTTTTATTTTCTCTCAAACGCTTGTTATAGAGTTAAATATCATAAAACGAAGACAGTGCGTTTAACAAAAAAGGATAAGCCCGATGAGAACCTATGCGGAGGGCAAGTTCGTCTGCTCCTTGCGCAGGGGGTAGCGGTGACGTCAGAACGCCGAGCCCTGATTGGCTGATCGAGCCCCCCTATCTGAGCGTCGTCTGCTTCTTTGCAACGTCGTCTGCTCGCAACGTCGTCTGCGTCTGTCTTACGTTTCCTGCGACTTTCGGAAGTGCAGAGGCCAGATTCACAAAACGATCTTACGCCAAAAATGTGCGTTAGACAAAACTTAAGAACAAATTCGTATTCACGAAACGAAATTTTCGTAAGTTTTGCGCAGGTTACGGCGAAATCCTACGACAGCTCTGAAGCTGTCTTACGCACTTCTTACGATCATGTCAGCATGGCCGACAGCGTCGCGGTCGCGACGACCCACGGACGTTTATTTTTCTACGTGAGCTTCTCACGCGTCCTGACTTCAAGCAGCAAAAAAAAAGTAAAAATTACTTGAAACAGAGCACGACGAACAAGAACGCTGGATCCACAGACACCGGGGAAAAGCTCCAACGGCAACGATTCCACCGAACGCGACCAAACGAGCTGGGCAGTTAGGCCTAGCAGGCACTCCGCGACTCGGCGACCGTCTGCCCACGACCGGCTGACGTGCTGAATGGAATATGCCCGCGCGACCCTTGTGAACCCTTCCCGTGTTATACTTTGATCGCTGACCTCGATTTTAGAGTAAGAGGTCAATTTCTTCCTCTTGTTATCTCCTTGTTTCCCGAGGCAACGGTGACTCTCGCCGGTGAAAAAGCGGCGAATGTCTGACAGACGCAGGAAAGGTAAAGCAGCCATCGCTTTGACTAGCAGACGTAAAGCAGACGACGTTAACTGCGCCAACCCGCCGGCGCCGTTAAAGAGTGAGGGGTCTTGCCGCACACGAATGGAGGTAAAAAGTATTTGGGGGGGAACTTGCGGACACTAAGCAAACAAACCTCGGTGCCCCGGGACACCTCGCCAGTGAGTCCTTTGACTTCCCTCCTTGATGCGCGTCTGCTAGTTGTTAGAC